CTAAATGTGTACCCCAGTGAGGTGAGATTTCATTGCTCAGTGCTAGGCAGAGTAATAGTAATAACAATGCACATAAAACCAGCATCAGTTTTCTGATATTTGGGTAGATTTTAAGCATTCTGGAGTTTAAATCTTCCAAGAACTGGTATGCAGAGATTATCACATTGAGTGTGACACTCAGTTTTGTGGCCTTCATGACAGAGAGGGTGGTGTTACCGGAGGAAGTGGTAGAAAGGGTAGAGGGAGAATGAGAGATCTATTTGTCATATGCAGCAGTATTTGGTGACTAAAAGTCCAAGGGAAGATGACAGAAAGCTAAACTAAAATCTGGGTTTATAACTTAGAGGTTAGAAGTCAGGTTTGGTGGAGGTGGCAGAAGAGGTGTGATAGTAAGCAGATCATTTTAAATTAATTCTCTGAAAGATGCAAATGCTTTAAAGACTTTTTACTCTTGTTAGTGCACCCACTCATTGATCTACTGCTTCTGGTAAAATATTTTAGGCTGTCGTGATAGGATAGATATGTTTTTGTTTTAATATACTTCAGGATTTTTGAGCTGTTATAGAAGTTACATTATGTCAATTAAGCTGCTGTAGTTGGTCTTGGAAAGTGATTTTGGTCAGGTTGGAAAAAAAAAGTTTTACTGAAATTCTCAATTCTGACAGATTTAGAGAGGGCAAGTGGAGAGTTATACAAATCTAGTCATATCTTACAACTAGCTTGTCTGTCACCTTTGTAACTAGTTTTCAAATTAAAGATGCAATTGAAAATGCTTCTCCTAATCTCAAGTGTTTTCATGTTATGTGTCTAAAGTTCACAGCCTGAAGTTAGAGCAAAACAGTCTCCTGTTAATTTGCAGAACAAAACAAATTGGATAAAAACTGTATAGAGCAGGGCCACAGAATTACTTCTATATTCCTGAATTTCTCTTTTGGTTGTCTATTTCTAGTAAAAATAGAAATGTATGCTAAGGGTTCATTTAACAAAGCAAATTTGGGCTGATTATGAAATGTAAACTAAGCCTAGATCTGATATTTGCAGTTCTCTAAGTGATTTAATACTGTAATCCTTCCATGACACGTTTATTACTATGGGTATTTCATTTACTAGTATTGGATGAGAGGTTTACATGCGTGGCTCTGTCATGTTTGTAGTCTCACAAACAATTTCTAGAACACATTTTAAAATAATCTGTGATGGAGTAATGACCAAAAAATTTGTATGTTGTTGCAGTAAATTCCTTACCTTTCTATTTACATATTTTTATGCCTTGTTTTAAAATAATAAGTTCCTGGTTCCATATTTATCTGTGAATTTAGATGAATTATGCTATTTTTCTTTATTCTCCCACTTTGTGGACAAATTAATTAATTTTGTTTCAACCTGAGTATCACGCTTAGCACGATGACTGGAATTCTTGATGGATTGTGGTTAAAGTAGCAAAGACTAGAAAAACAGTGAAGAAGCGTTGGCAAGTTAATTACATTACTCTAAATTTAAACATGAGCTAGGCTGTAGTAGCTTTAGAAGCTGATGTGAAGAAGTGAAATACTGTCTTGGAAATGGCTGTAGGAAAAAAAAAATACTGATAAGTAATTGATTTTGTTTTTATGTGCTTCAGTTCTGATGTAGTTTTATTTTGAAACTGGACTGTATTATCTCAGCATTATTAAACTAAAGTTTAAAACCCCTGAATGTTGTCATAATGTGTGAAAATAGGGCATAGCAAACACCTTTCTTCTGAAAGTGAGTTAATACCTTATATATATGCTATGAAATGAGGCAAATCAAACAGGGTTGTTTGGGAGAAGCAATGTCTTGTGTAATGCTAGTTTATGTATCTGGAAGAAGGTTTCACTTCACTGCTCTTAAGTTTTTGAGTTAAGTTCAGTTACACTTCATTGGTGTGTTGCCACTTTATTGGTATGTTGGACCTTTTACTGTGGTATCTTGCAGTAATGGTGTTAATAACAGTTTCTTATTAAAAAGATACCTTCAGAGTCCTAGTTTCCCAGGTGAAGTGCAAAATGTGTTTTACAAAATATGTCTGAAGATTGATTTTTTTTTTTTTCCTTTCATCTTTGAGGTCATTAAAAGTTGTGAGATTTTTCTTTACTTAAGGGAGGTTATTGCTTTCAAAGTTGTGAGGACAGGTTGGGTATGCAGTGTCCCAGTGTTAATTTGTATTTGGTTCCATAGCTCTTGTCAGTATTGATGCAGCCCTTGGTTTGCTGTTAGCATCTTCTCAAGTGCTGCCTCATTTTTTTGTTTCTTAAGAGCTTTAGAGTTGTCTGTCAGAAAGGATGAAACTTCATGTCTGAAGCTGAAGGTCACTTAAAAGGAGCTTGAGCTTTTTGTGGGATTGTTTTTCCCAGAACCCTAGTGTCATCATTAGTCACACCTCAGTTTTTACTGGGACAGTACTGTGCCATTTGAAACTTTTCCTAGCTCTCAAGGAAAAGATGACCTTAAACTGTTGAAGAATTTATCAGTCAACATAATACTCACAAAGACTGAGCACATAACATGGTTGTTGTTTAAAATTGAATTTTAAACACTGAAATCACCTTATAAATGATCTTCCATAAACCTGAAATTATAGTTTCTACCCAGTGATTATGTAGGAATGTGCTAGAAGTGTTCATTATTTTCTTTAGTGATGACACAGTCTGTGTGGGGGACTCCTACATTAAAGTTTTGATGTTTTGATTGCCAAACTCCATGGTCTCAACAGAACCATCTCCCAGACTCGGGATAATATTATGCATCATGTTTCCTTGCTTCAGGGTCCTTTTGTGCTGCAGCCCATATGTGCTGTAATGGCAATGCTTTTTATAGATTGAGTGACTGAAAGTTAAAAAGAACTGATCTGTGACATTTACCTCATGTATTATAGCTGCGGATAATTTCAGAACAGAATAATGAAATGGCTCTTGATTTTTTTTGTTGTTGCCATCATCTTTGATCATGGGGGATGAATTGGGAATAGAAGTAGATGTGAGTGTCAAGTGTGGAAGCAGTTTTGAAAGGTCAGATGAAAAAGATAAGTATGTACTTGGGGAAAAAACTCAGCTGTACTCAGACAAATGTACATTGGAATACTTGGGCAAATTGTCATTGCTTCAGTATATTTTGTAGTCTTTAAAGACCAGTTGGATCTCAACTGTAGTTAGCTGTCTCAGTTTTTAACATTACTTTAGCATTAACCTCCCAGAGCTGCTTGTGTTCTGTGTACATAGGTCTGAGGAAACACAGAAATGAAACGTTTTCTTTATTTCTGAACTTCTTTGAAATGTGATGTAAATGGAGCTGCATGTTTGCACTCATAAAGATGATAGGTATGACGTTGTGCTGATCTGTTCTGCAGTTTTAGATCAGTTGGGTGTTTACAATGCAGGTGTGACCTTGAAATGTGTTGTGAAGGTTGTGCTGGGAGTATGGTGGTAGGAGTGGCTGCTGAATGGTCCCACACACCTCATGAGTTGAGAAAGGGATTATGAAGGAGCCATGTGCCCTCTGGAGCAGGGGTTCATGCTGGAAGTGCCAGCTGCAGTCAAGTGCAGTTTGTGTGGCTGGTTGCTGCTGCCCTGTGTGACACAGCTGCTGGGAGAACACAGTCCAGGTACTGAGAAGCAGAGACATTTACTGGCAGCTGTTCTATGTTGCCTGCTAACAAAGAGGGGGAAGTGCCCAACCTATTTTTCCTTTGGAAAAAATAATGGAAAAAAATGTGACAAGTTGTATTGATCTTACATTTAGTTATATATACAGAAATAAGCAGTGTGTATAAAAAGGGAAGGTTTTTCCTGTTACAGCAGGCTTTGTCTTCCGTTTTTCTTTCTCATTATTCTTGTTCATGGTCTTGCTTTTAGATATTTATACTAAATCAAAAGTGAGAAAAGGTCTGTGTGGAAGAAACATTGCCGACTGTTTCTTAAAAAAAAAACCAACAAAAAACCAAACAGCCAAACTACTCTTATATTGTATAATACAGGTTCACTACTGGAAATTTGTGTTTTAGCAATATACTTCTTTCACTTTGATTTTCAAGTATCTCTGCTATTTTAAAACTCTCCTTTAATATATTGCTTGTAGAATAAAGTTGAAAATAAATTAGGTGCTTTGCTGTAGCAATATATGTTTCTGTAACCTAAATTATACTTCTTAAATTCTGGGAGTCTGTGTTTTTATATAACCTGGCAGCCCACCACTGAACAATGTGAATCAGTGGTACCACTGAGGTTCTGACGTTTTAATTTTTTTTTAAATGTCTTCTATGTGGCATTACTATAGCCTCATGAAACCTGTCTGATGTATTACCGTGGCTTTGGTTGCCTGAATTTTTTGATCTAGCTGTGATTTCACCCTTTGGGAATAGCTGTGTGTGCAGAATAGGTTGAAGCATCTTAAAGCTGATTCACACAGGGTAGAAACATAGGGATTTTGAGCTTGAAACAAAACAGCTGCAAAACTAAGCTTTGTAAGAACTTTGTATTACAACAACTTCATTATGTAGTAGATGCATTTTTTAGTGTGTAGGTTAACTTAAATTCATAGGAACAGTTGGAAATGGGACTCTCTTAATAGAACCAGTTAATATTTGTCTTTTAGGGCAAAATCATAGTGGTGGATCACAAGAGGAGAGTAGAATTGGCAGATTTAAAATTTTTTGTAGCTTTTTCTTTCTGGCAGATTTAAAATTTTTTGTACCTTTTTCTTTTGACCGGAACTGAATGTATTTTGATGGTAGTGGTTTCTCTTAAAATAGCTGTATCATAATACCGAAAAATTATTTTTGTAATATGTATTCAATATAGTAAAATATATAAAACTTTTGGTTTTCTGTTTCCATTATGTTTGGTAGGTATGTTTGTAACTTGATACAAAACACCCACCAAGATTTATTTCCCAACATACAAGTTAAACCCAAGGAATTCAATATGGATCTTTATGCAGGAAATACTTACAGATATAGTAATTATTTTTTGTTTTCTTTACAGAAACCATAGCCCATTAATGAGTTTTGGAGCCAGTTTTGTCAGTTTTTTGGTGAGTAGATGAGAGCACAGAGTATTCACCTTTTGGGGTTCATGGCTGTATGTGCATGCATGTGTTCATAATACTTTAATTTTTTTTCTTTTTCTGAGACTATTTTTTCCAAATTTATGGATTAAACATAGATAGAGAACAAGGCATTATGCTATGTAAAGCTTGTTTACTTATGTGGTTTAAATATAAGGTAAAGGTTCTGTGATTCAGCTTCTTAAATGCATTCAATATTTATGTGTTCCATTAACAGAGCCATAATAAAAAGTTCTCTTAAGTGAACAGTGAAGTTATTTATTTATTTGATTAAAATAAAATAGAACTCATGAATGCCTGTTTTTCTGGTAACTTTTGCTATTGAAGATTTCTCTATCCATACTTCTGGGTGAATTTTGTTAATTCAATCCATTTACATTGCTTCCATTTTGGATATATGAGATAAATGGATTTACTAAAAAGTCATAATGAACAAGTTAGGTTTGTTAAATGCTTTTTAAATATAACTTACTAGGAATTATAATGCCATGTATAAAAACTGAGCAGGTGTATTAGAAAGTGTTTGGGTCTTGTTTTTTTAGGCTGTCCTTATTCCGACTTTACTGTTTAATCTTAGATCTCACCAGAAATTATCTATGGTAAAACCCTTTTGAAAGACAGCATTTACTATAATATACCAAAGATACATGATTTGTGAAATAAATAAATAGGAATTCTCTCTAGTATGTAATATGGAAAAATACACTGGTTAGGAAAACTCCTGGGGCATATGCTTCCTTTTAAGTTGGTGTGGAGGAGAAAGGAAAAAGAGAATCTTTCAGGATTTCTTATCTGAATTGATGTGCTGAACCAGTGCAGCATCAGAGGATCTTGAAAGTATCTTGCTTAGCTGCTGTTCTAAATATAGCAGCAGCACTTGGTGTGCCTGTGTCATTCAGAGCTTTTGTTTAATAAGCTCCAAAAAAATAAGTTACTTGTCCTGAAATTTTTTTTCAGTTGGTTCAGCAGTAGTTGGAGTCAGATGTGATTTCTTTTTCTTCTTACCTATGGAGGGACTGTGGCTATTATTTTGATGATTGTAATAGCTGCTTGTTGTTAATGACTTTGACGGCCTGCTATTTATATGAATGAATAAAACAGATACGTGCACAGATGCAAATCATGCCTTACGTAGCAAAAATTAAAAATGAATGCATAGGAATTTTTCTTCTGCTTAAAGTAATTTGACAGTGCATTCAGTTCAACTGTGTATGAAGGTCTAAGATGGAGGTTAGCACTTAGTGTGTTCTGAGTTGATTGTCTTGAAATTTTGTTAAATATCTCAATTTTCTGGTTCGATGTTTCTGTGTTAGAAGTATTTGCACTGATGTATGTGTATTACTACTTCAGTTTAAAAAGTTTTATTGTCTGGTTTTTATGCAAAATTTTACTGTCTCACACCTTTTGTAGAAATAAAAGTGTGGTTTTTATAATTCAAATGTGCTTGGTTTTTAATAGAATGCCATGATGACATTTGAAGAGGAAAAAATGCAACTGGCATGTGATGACTTAAAGGCTACAGAGAAACTTTGTGAAAGTGAAGAAGCTGGAGTTATAGAAACAATCAAGAATAAAATTAAAAAGAACGTAAGAACATAATTTGTATATTGAATAATTTTTTCTGGAAACTTCCTTTCTATCCTCTTTGTATCTTGAAAAGATGATTTTCGGTATGTGAAGAGCCATTGATATTAATAATAAATTTGGAAATTCAGTCAAATATTTTACTTGCATTTCCTAATTGTCCTAAAATACTTAGTCACAGGTGAGTAAAATGTCTTCTGATATGTCAGGTTTTGTTGATATTAGTAATTGTTTCCTGAATATGCAAAGTTTGTGACCTACTAAAATTTCAGGAAGCTTGTAGCCTGCCTAATTCAGGCTAACTTTAATTCATCCATGCTCTAGTAATGTTCAAAAGTTGTGACATTGAGGCTGCAGATTGCTGTGAGCCAGGCATATTCCTAGGGAATTTTCCTTCCTTTTATGGATTTTTCATTCTAAATAATAAAGGAAGAATAAAGCATGGAGCCTCAGAACAAGTTAAAGTAGTATAAAAGCATCCAGTGAGCAGCCTGCCAAGTGTGACACAGCAGAAAAAGAAGCCATTTTTCTTTAGTGCTTAGTTTGCTAGGTAAAAAGTGTTGAACCTGTAGTACTTAACTCGCTGTTCTTAAGATGTGCTGTATTTACCCTGCCACTTGTCATACACCCTTTTCTGTGATCTTCCTAATATCTGTTACTTGTATGTCTTATGCATTTAGTAATAATTAAATAAAATTTAAATATATTCTGACAATTTGTAGAACCTTGGGGAAAATAACTGGTAGTGTATGTGTAAGATTTCCCTGCTAACTAGGATTTTGCTTGATAATCTGTGAGAAATTTTACTGTAGATTTGAACTTCAAAATGCTGAGTTATTTCAGTAGCAATACTACCACTTGCAGTTAATTTTGGATTTTTTAATTTCTCAGATTTAGACAAGAATTGTGTTTTATCTTCAGTAATATTTTACTGTGCTCTGTGTTTATATATTCCAAACAGGTCGATGGACGAAAATCTACTCTATCCATGATAGATCGCCTACAAAGACAAATAATTGTAGCAGACTGTCAAGTCTACTTGGCTGTGCTCTCGTTTGTGAAACAAGAGTTATCAGGTGTGCTGTGGCTTTCATGTTTAGATATATTTTAGCATGTCTTTTTTATAAAGCTTGATCATTAAATCACCATGTGACTTTCAGTAAAAAGAATTGTTTTGTAAGCACAGTTCCATTTGAAACATTCCAAGACTGGTACACTTACAGAGGTATTCTGCCTGTGTATAGGTGGTGGTGAAAAATGAGATGGATTGCTACAAATTGGGGCTTTCTTCCTTTTTCCATACCAATAACAGTATTCAATTGGTTCTCCTTAGAAAAGTTTGCATGTTATCATAGAGGTGTTGGAGGAGTTGGGACGGAGATGGGTAGCACCTGTGTGCTTTGTGGCCTGCAAGATAAAAGAGGCTATTAGATCCAGGCCACTGGGAAAATCCTGATGTTCCATATGTATTCCGTTCATGACAATACAGGGAGGTGACAAAGTGCCAATGAAAGCAATTTTAAATGAATGTGCTGAAAATGGAACTGCTGAATCAGTTCTTACTCTCTGGTCACCAGAGTGTGTCCTTGCATGCCAAAGAGGGTAATCCTGTCGTGTTGAATACAAATCCTTCCTTTCAATTTCAGAGCTGTTTCTGATGTTTTCTTACATTCCTGCATCTCTTGCACAATCTTAAAACATGCTTTTATCTGTAAGTTTATAGAAACTGTGGTCAAGGTCATATAGAAAGTGGGAGTGTATCTCAGGTTTCTACCAAATCAATGAAGACTGAGAGATGGCAGACAGACCAAACTCTGCTTGCTGATCAGCTGAAAGGAAATGGGGAAATAACATTCAGTTTATTTAAAATAACACTTAAAATTTTCAGTCATGTATATAATGCTTTCTGTGATGTGCAGACTTGTTTTATTCCATGCTATGGCATCAAGAATGTGTTTGGTTCTTGTCAGCAAAAATTCAGGAGATATTTCTGTCTGCTTTATGTGTTGTGCTGCAGAAAAGTTTTCTTGCTATTTTTAATGCAGTTCTGGGTTTTTGTTTGTGGTGGTTATTTTTCCCCCCCTCTTGAAGCTTTTTTCCCTTGTTTCAGTATGTATTCTGCAGCTGCATAACTGGGCTGGATGCTGTAACTGAAGGTGGTGTCTGTTCCCTTTCTCTCTTGTCTGCAGCTTAGAGAATTGAAGTGGGTAGTAGTGAGAATTGCAGAACATGCTATATATTTGGGTTATTCTACTGAGCAAAAAATACACCTGAAGTCTTTAGTTAAAACTGCAAGCACATAAATGCTGCCTCAGTGACAGGTAGTTAATGACATTGCTGAGCTATTGGATCCATTATTTTATGTTTTAAAGTATATTATCTTTATGTATATTCATTCTCCATTTTTATTGTATTTCTGCACAGAAATAGCATCCAGATTATTGAAATTAGTGTAATTTCATGATAAGAAGCCCCAGGAGACAAATATTTCTGATCAGTGGATGGGAGAAAAATTCCTTGTGTTTTTCTTCCTGGAACAGTTTGACAAGAAGCATATGATGCCACGCAAGTTGGTTTCTCACATGCTTAACACATTTTATATTTTCTTTTCCACCCTCGTGGATGTATTAGAAATAGTTCCATCATAAAGTTGTTGGCAGACCAAATTACATTAGCTTCTCCTGGCAATACTGAACTACCTTCTCTTAGTATTTACCACAGCTGTCATGGGTCTGACTACTTTCATGATGGGAAATCAACTCAGTGATTTGGCTGGATTTAACTTTTATATCTAAAAAATCAGAAATTCCTTGGTTTAATTTTTTAGATTATTTTATATTGGTATGTCAACATCATATAAATTATGGTTATGCTGTGTTAGTGAACTGTTAATGACAGTACACCAATGGAAGCAAAGTATAAAACTGTATGTTTTCTTCCACCATACCACATCTTTTCCATTTCATGCTTGCATTGGAACACAGTGATTAGCTCTGGCAGAATCGTTATCTGTAGGATAGGTAAAATGTGGAATTTTCTTATTACTGGTGTGCTGTATTGTTGTGCATAGTTCTGTGAGCACTCATCTTGTGGTGAACCACATAACTTTTAAAGTACTCTGCCACCAAAAAGTGACCTTAGAATTGGAGTAATGTTTGTCTGGTAATGCAACTGAATGAAAGTTGGGGGCTTCATATTTTAATCTAATGCTTTAATACTCAAGAGAGAGGATTAATGTTTTTTTTTTTTTTAATATTTCCAAGTTCATGTTGACAGAACCCTTCTGTCATAACTGAGAATTCAAATTTTACAGTCTTTTTCAGTACAATTTTTTAAGACTATCAAACTAGCTTCATGCCCTCTTCATATAACAAGAATCTAAAAAGAGACAGTCTAGTCTGTGATGTAGAAATGTTGGGCTTTTTTTGTGATTTGGGAAGGGTTTTGTCAAAGGCATCAGAGACTTTTATAGAGTTGTTTGGTATTAATAGCAGCTTGCTTTTCTTTGACACACTCCACCTGTTATGGTCTAATTCTGGCATTAGTTATAACACTGATCTTTGCCAATCTGGCTATGTTTGTTTAGAACACTGCTGCTATAACCATGTTTTTATTTTATTTTTAGTTAGTCTTTGTCACTGCAGTTCCTAACTCTCAGGGCCCTGTCACAGCCAAAATGCTGGTGTGTGTTTTTACAGTGAATGTGTGCAAGGATATTCTCCATTTGTTTAATGTTTAACACTTACCATTGTTAAAGGGTATGCTTATAACAAAGATGATTGTTGTATAAATAAGCAAATTGAACATCTTCCTCTTTTGATGTTAGGCCTTTCTTTGCCCTGCTATAAAGATCACAGACTGAGAATGTTCATTCTCAAACAAGAATGCTCAAGACCAAATTTCTAGAGAAATACAGGTACTCATGTTGCTTTTGAAATTGAGGAAGTTAGGCAACTGAAAAATACTTTAAAACCATGTAATTTTTGTGTGGGTTTTCTTTTCCTTAATTGTAGGGCACTGTCTTCATGCGAAGGGCAGGGAAGTGATAATGTTGAAAATCTTACTGTCCAATCCAAAGGAAAAGGCTTTTCTTGGTATTTTCCCATCAACTGTGTTTTAACACAATTTGGGCTTTTAAGAGGAGAGGTGTAATCTCTTCTCCGTTTTGCTTTTCTCTGTTTGCTAGGCAGCCATTTCATCTGCACCCTGTAGTGGAGCAAAATCCAGCACTAGGTTTTTTGGTTGCTCTCTTTCTCTCTGACAGCTGTACTGCTGCGTCGCTGACCAGAGCTGCCTTTGTGTTGTGTGCTGCTGTAAAGAGTGTGGTTGTACACACTGAAGTTTGTAGTGCCCACTGTGCAAGACCTCTCTAAGGGAACAGTAGCTATTACAAAATCCTTTATACACTAAGTTGTTGCAAATAGAGAGAGCATCTTGGGCTTGGAAAATAGCATTTACTACTTAGGATGTTCCGCTTCTGAAATATGTCCTTGAAGTATTTCTTTCTTCCTTGATTTTTTTTTTTAGCATATATAAAAGGTGGGTGGATACTCCGAAAAGCCTGGAAAATTTACAATAAGTGCTATACGGACATTAATACACTTCAGGAAATATATCAGAAGAAAACAACTCAGGAATCCTTGACTTCTGACGCTGCAAATGATAATCATATTGCTGCAGAAGGTGTAACGGAGGATTCGCTAAACAGACTGAAAGGTGCTGTTAGCTTTGGATATGGACTTTTTCATCTTTGCATATCCATGGTGCCCCCAAACCTGCTCAAAATCATCAACCTGCTGGGTTTTCCTGGAGACCGCCTACAGGGGCTTTCCTCACTGATGTATGCAAGTGAAAGTAAGGACATGAAGGCCCCTTTAGCTACGTGAGTAGCTATATTGAAATGCTTTGGTAGATAATTTAGTACTAAAAGTAAGTAACTGGGAAAAAGTCAAAACCAAGAAGTTGCTTTAAAGGAAACAACAGCAGGTAAAATAAACTGGTAGTTTGTTGTTTAACATACCATGGTTTAGTAAATTCATCACTCACTAATGTATGAGATCTCTGCTGTTAATTATTTACATGTATTTGGGGTTTGGGTCAATATTTTGCTGTATTCTTTAGTACCTGCAGTTCTAATGTCCTGTAATTTGAATACCATCAGGGTAAATAAAAGCTTCCCCTGAAGGCTGTATGGAATTTACCTGAGTTACATTCTCTGCTGTGGAAAGCATACTACTTAGTATGAGTCACTGGTCTCATTTAGCAATTTTTTCTTACTGCTAACACTAAACAATTTTCAATTGTTTTAAATTTTTTTGTTTGTTTTAGCGTCTCAGTAAAATGAGATGTTCCCTGTAGTATTTTTAGGGGAGTATTTTTTGTGTACTCTTTTTCCCAAGACTTCATACTGTGCTCTGTTCTTTTCAAGAGCTGAAGGATTGGCCAGACCTAATTTAAACTGCCCTCATAAATGGCTTTATTACTCCATTATCTAAAAATTAATGCTTTTATTACTGGACCTACTGCACGTACCATCAGGTGTCAATTTTGAAACATGACAGTAGAGCTAACTCTCTTCTGCTTCAGGAGAAGTCTTGGAATTCTGTTTGATTCAGAAAGCTTAGGATTAAATATTATTCCTGTTTCTCTTTTTCTGGGGGAGAAAAATGATATATTTGGGGAATGTTTCCTCCTTCAGATAGTCTTGGATATCTTTGTGCTCTGCCTTTGTTTCCGGAGTGATGTAGGTCATGTAAATATCTACTCTTCTGAACACAGGATGTATTTCTTTTTCACATTGATTTCAAGAGTGTCAGCTGGTGTGTGTTCAGGGCGTTTTGCTGATTTTTGTCAGGGCTTTTTTTTGTTGTCTGGTTTTGAAGCTTTTGTTTGGTTTTTTTTTTTTTT